TGCCATTAGAAACTCAAGTAACTTTAAAAGGAAATTTCCTAAACAATTGTGAGTCCAAGTTCCAGAAGACCCACAGATAAGGCTCTCATGACAGGTGTGACACCATGTAGGCACAGACAACTTTAGAAAGTCACCATTCAAGTGAACTAGAGGACAGGGCTACCACTCTACCAAAATGGCTGAGAGCTGAGATATCCTATTTAACTGATATGATTAAGCTTATTAATTTCATTCCCTTTTCTATAGTGAACACTATGGAATCAATCTAGGATGGAATTAGATCTCTTTAAGCAAAAAAAAAAAAAAAAAAATCCATGATAATAAATATTTGTAAATTCCTGGTATATAAATGTTGTTGTTGTTGTTATGGGCCATCGAGTCAGATCCAACTCATAGCGACCCCTCCTTGGGTTTCCGAGGCAGTATCACTATGGAAGTAGATAGCCCCATCTTCTTTCCGAGGAGTGGCTGGTGGGCTTGAACCACCAGCCTTCTGGTTAACAGTCAAGTGCCTCAGGCACTACGCTACCAGAGCTGCTCCCGCTATATATATATATATATATATATGTATGTATGTATATAAAAGACTGTTAAAATATTATAGCCCTTCAAAAAAACAAATTTACTGCCGTTGAGTCAAACCTGACCCTAGCAACCTCTCCAAGGCGGTATCACCACACATGGAAGTAGATTTCCCAACCTTCCTTCTGAGGAGTGGCTGCTGGGTTTGAACCACCAGCCTCCTGGTTAGCAGACAAGTGCCTTAGGCACTATACTACCAGAGCTTCTGTTATAGCCCAACTCTCCCATTATAATGAAATACTAAACTCAGATCAGTACATAATGAATAAGGCTTATGAATATTTTGGGATCCCTGAATGGCTCAAATGGTGAAGTACTCAGTTAAGCTTGGCTACTAATCAACCCACACAGAAGAGTCGTAGAAGAAAGGCATGGCAATCTGCTTCTCAAAGGTGACAGGTATGAAAACTTTATGGAGTGGAGTGCTACTCAGACACATATGGGGTGGCCATGAGTTGAAATCGACTCAATGGAAACTGGTTTTTGAAACTGGTTATGAAAAATTATCAAAACTAACTCTTAGTATTAGCTTGTTTTAAGATTATAGAATTAAAGATGTGAATTTGGTTTTTACATCGGTATTGCAGCAATAGGGGAGTCAAAACTGCTACAATAATTTGGATAATCAGGCAAAGTACAGTTTTTAGTACAAATACTAAATTTACTTTGTGTATATTATGGCGAGACTTTGTCTCATGTCCTATGGATATGTTATCAGGTGGGATCAATTCCTGGAGAAGGACATCATGCTTGGTAAAGTAGAGGGTCAGCTAAAAAGAGGAAGACTCTCAATGAGATAGACTGATACTGTGGCTACAACAATGGACTCAAATGTAGCAATGATTCTTAGGATGGTGCAAGACTGGACAGGGCAATGTTTTGTTCTGTTGTGCATAGAGTTGCTCTGAGTAGAAACCAACTTGATAGCACCTAAAATATGATCACACCATTTTGATTAGAGTAAGGTTTTAGCTTCTAATTCTGCATTCTTCTGTCAGGTTACATTTAGAAAGGCATTTTAGAAACTAATTTGTAAGTAAAGCAAATAGAATTAATGTTCTATCAATCTGATTCTCTAGCTTTTATATATTCAAGATTGGGGAACCTCTTCTGTAACCCTCAGGAAGTCACTCAACCTTTTGCCAAAGTAAGTTTACAAGTGTTTAAAAATCTTTCACGTGTATGAAATGCTCTGCAACCTTCAAATAGTGCCAACTAGAGCTTTTGAAGAGCAAAAATCCAGCTATGCTTGCATATAAAATGGTGGCTGTTATAGTAGGTTGAAAATTACAGTTATGCTTTACACAGCTTAAACATCTTTTTCGTTGTTCTTAGAAAGTTATTTTCACTTCAAATTAATTAATTATTAAACTTCAAATTCTTAGGGTGATTAAAATGGTTAGACTTTCTTATTAAGAAACAGAAATCTTTATGTGAAAAAAAAAGGTATGGTAATGCAAAATTACCAAGATTGTACTAGGTTTATAATCATGTTAACCAAAAACCAAACTCATAACCAAACTCATAAGCTTATACTTTTGATTAGTCCAGGTTTTATTTTAGGACATATATATTTTTATGAAGGAGTCTTGGTACAGTGCAGTGAATTACCTGGTATGGCTTTTCTAGCCATTGTTGTTGTTATGTGCCATAGCGTCAGATCCGACTCATAGCGACCTCTCCTTCAGTTTCTGAAGGAAGTAGATTGCCCAACCTTCCTTCCGAGGAGTGGCTGGTGGGTTTGAACTGCCAGCCTTCTGGTTAGCAGTCAAGTGCCTTAGGCACTATACTATAGTCCTTTGTAAGTACCACAGGATTACTGGGTGGGACTACACAGATAAGGTGTGTAGGACTCTGACGTTGGGATTGGTTAGTTTTGTCACTCTGCCAGGCTTAAAATGCACCTTCCTAGAGGCAGAAAGGGGGATCTCACTGCCATCAAAAGAGAAGAGCTAGAGGTTAAGTGGAGTGAATCCCTGGACCTGATATCCTTGTGCCAGACCTCTTTGGCTAAGAGATGCCTGGCTGAGAGAGAGACACTCTGGTGAGAGAGAGGCATCTGGATAAGAGACAGATGCCTGGATAAGAGACAGATGCCTGGATGAGAGACAGCAGCAGTGGGGCCAAGTGGCAGGAGATATGGCTCAAGGAAAGAGAAAGCTGAGTGCCCTGGGGCAAGGAGGCTTGCTGGCGGGGTCGGGTGCACGTAGATGCACCTATCAGCAGAGTTAAAAGAGCTTTGTAACACTTGCCTGAGCAGGGCAGGGTCCAGGCTGAGAAGCCAAGGGCCACAGAAGCGTGCTGAGGATACAGCAGAGGGGAGGCTGTCCGGATTCAAGAACTGTATCCTGAGAGTGTTCCTGAACCTGACTAGTAAGCCTGTTACTTCCTTACTAAACCCTATAATCATGAGTATTGTCTGTGAGTTCTGTGTGGCCATTACAATGAATTACTCAACTCAAAGGAGAAGCAGTGAGTGCCATGGAAATGACAGCTGGTACCAGATTAGGTAAAAAGATTATAAGGTGGTGGCATGTTTGGTCTCAGAGAGTAACCCTTGGGCTGCTGAAGGTGATTCTGTCTCCCCCTCGTGAGAAGTTGGAGGAGGTCAGAAGATGCCGTCTCCATGCCCTTTTTGCACCTGGTGATACAATGATAAATGCTCAGCTGCAAACTGAAAGGTTGGTGGTTAGAAGCCACCTAGTGACTCCATTGGAGAGAGACTTGGTGATCTGCTCCAGTAGATTTTAAAACCAAACCAAACATACCACCATCTCATCAATTCCAACTTATCGTGACCCTTTAGGACAGAGGAGAACTGGCCAATAGGTTTTCTAAGGCTGTAAATCTTTATAGCAGCAGACTGCCTCATCTTTCTCCCATGGAGCAGGTGGTGGGTTCAAACTGCTGACCTTTTGGTTAGTGGCTGGATGCTTTAACCACTATGCCACCAGAGCTCACCTTCCCACAGATTATAGCCTAGAAAACCCTATGTGGCCGTTCTACTCATAGACATGGATCATTATGAATCAAACATTGACTCGATGACAAACTATAAGAACATTATTTTTATATGCATTTATCCTCTCATTAGAAATACATACTTCTCATCCAGTGACCTATGACTTCTAAGAATGTCAAATATTTTGATGGGCAAGATAAGATGAATCTATGTATAACATTACTCATTTATTTAAAAGAGTAAAATAAATGTATCCACCTAAGGAGCTAAAAGAAGCTCTGGTGGCGTAGTGTCTAAGGCACTTGACTGCAAACCGGAAGGCTGGCGGTTCAAATCCACTAGCCATTCCTTGGAAGGAAGGTTGGGCAGTCTACTTCCATAGTGATACTGCCTTGGAAACCCAAGGAGGGGTCACTATGAGTCAGATCCAACTTGATGGCAGTGAGTAAGGAGCTAAGAAGGATAAAATAAACAAAGAAATGTAGTTATCTACAGGATTTTGCAAACAATTTTGAAAAATTCTACTATGTCAATATGTAAGTACATGACATAAAAGCTTTATTTTATCACTTCTCATCACCTGACAAGAACCTCAAACATCTTATAAGGGGGATATTTTATGAACTGAAGATTCAATTACTGTAAAAATCTTATTCACATTTACTGTTTGAGTATAAAGCATTAATATTAAAAATACATAATTCCAAATTCATTAATTTAATTTTAAAGGTCCTATACACAGGTACTCTCTAACTTAATGATGTATTTGAGTTCAGATGAACTGCACTTATGATCGTCATGGGGTTTTTTTTGTTTGTACATCTTACCATTAGTAATAGGTACTACATACAATGTTGCAGGGCATAATTTGCTGATGTTATCCTTCTCACATGTTCACTCACAGATGTTCAATTTTATGATTTACTGTTCAGAACACTTCCATACAGCAGGCTATGGTGTGGTCTACAATGATTTGTGTATTTATTCATGTGTGTAACATTAAAGTATATCTGTAAATTTACATAATGTTTACAACCCCCAAAGACAAATAAAGACCAAATTTATAAAGATACTGATAATAAAAGGCAAAAATAATGAAAAAAAAATAAGGTATTCTACTTATGTCAGAACTGACTTACAACATACAATGGAGTCAGAACAGAACCCCTTCATAAGTCAGGGACTACCTTTACTGCTAATACCTTATTATGAATTTAATTATTCAAGTTTAACCACCTCATTTTACTGTCCAGGAATTATGTATGCCTTAATAGTTTTCATTCTTCACAAATAATAAAATTGCAATTAAAATAATGCTTACTAAACACTGAAATAGAATCTTTCGACCACTGAACACTTATGGCTTAATGTCACAAGAAAAAGGAAAACAGTAATCATTTTAAGTAGAAACTGTTTTCTGTTCTGGTTTAGGTATGAGAGAGGGGAGTCACAATACCTCACAAAGCAGTAAGTCAATGATGTGGAAGACCATGCAGAGAGGAAACTTGGCAGTGAAAAGAGTGAGAAACCACTGGGATGCATACATATGAGCTTCCAGGTTCAGATCACAAAAATGGCTGTGCAGGTCGGGTAACTGCTCCTAAAAGTCAGAATGGAAAATTTAAGGAGAGGGACACTAAAGCTGTATTTTCTGCCACAACTGCAATTTATGCCATGCTTCTATGATCATTCTTACACTATATTCCAGGATTTGTTGCATTTTCTGTAAAAGTGATGACAAGAAATGGGAATTGGGGATATGACAGATAATTGAAAACAACAAAGACAGACCTGCTATGAACAAAATACAAAGAATCATTCCTTGCTCACTTGCTCTTTCTTGTTTCTGGGGAACTGCTCCTTCTCACAGAATACCTGCTGTCCAAAGATATTAGACTCCCATGATGTCAGGGAGAATTCAGCCCATTCAGGGATCAACTCCTAACTAGCTAGGAAAGAAATGTATCTTCTCTTTGGTGACCATCTAGCGTCAATAAAATTTGGGTTCTATGGTATCATTTCAGTATATTTTTGGGGCACTTGGAAAAAAACCCAAAACATTACCAAACTCTTAAAAATCCCTCTTTGGCATATTAAAATTGGCAAGGTACAAAAACTGTACAAGTGTATAGATGTTCATTAAATGCCTTTATGCTAGCTTTATTTTTTTTCTCCTAAGTTAAACAAGCAAATGCTTTTCCAAAAGCATGAACAGCCAGGTATGAAGTATTAGCATACCTATTCCTATATCTGAAAAACAGGAAAGATATGTAAAAACCCAATTCTGTTTTGTTTTCATAAACAGACCACAAAAACAAAACAAAAAGCTATTTCTTGCTCAAAGTGCTCCCTTTGAAAGACACCTAAATGTGTCTACCACGTACTTTACATAGGCTGTCTAACCAGTTACCCAGTTAACAGAAAAATGTGGCTGGGCTTCCTCATCATATCATACACTTGCTTTTCATTGATCAGGTACATTTATTTGACTCTCAAAGTTCTTAGGAATACAGACAGACCTTTGAAGAAACATGAACTTTTATGAAGGAGTGAATGACCTCAAGTATTTATCTGATAGAATCAAATCTTCTAAAAATGGCCTATTCCTTTTAAACTCCACAGGTACCAATTTTTTTATACAGTTTTTTCTCTCTCAGTGCTAACTGGCATTTCCTTCTCTTTATTTCTTCTTCATTTTTAAGGTCTTCTATCTACACTTTTATATTTCCTTCTTCCAATAATACTGCTTCTTGACTCCCTGCTCTAGTCTGTTAGTCTCCACCTAGTTTCATGTCCCTCTTTATTCCTATGGACCTCCTGACAGGCTGTGTCAATGAGCTCCCACTAGCTGTCTTCTACTCCTTCATCCCACGAACCTTCTTCTCTAACTATTTTAATACAAAATCAATCAATTCGTACACTTCTTTCACATTTCTCTCATGTTCCTAACACCCTTTGCAGATAAAGTCATATAAATGGAATAGACCCATTATAAATCTAAGATTTTCAACCTCAGCTGGAACTTCAAAACTACTCAATAATCCCTTTTGTCAGATTTACTCAATGCCCCTACTCACAATATTTTTATTATGTAATACTTAATGCATATAAAGTAGTATTTCTCATGCGTATACATTTATACATACATACTACACATAGAAGTTATAAACACAAAACATTGTTGGAGATCAGGAAATTACACAGAAAGAAATTTTAAAGTATGTTCTCATATTATTGGTATTTTAGGCATTTCTCTTATCAGTATTTTTCTGTCTTTTCCATGTTTTTTCTACATGTGAACCCAAATAGGGTAGCAATGGTAATTGATATGGAGAAAGCATTTAGGTACTTCCAATTTTTATTCAATTTCTGTAAATATTATCATTCCTGTACAAATAGTACATGGCAATGTCCTCACTGACATAACATACTACATTCTCACTTCAAAGTGATTAAAATTGAATATTCAAAATGGGAGATTACTTAACATAATAGTCAAGTTGCTAAATAAATATACTGGTTAGAAACCAAATCTATTTACATTTTCTGCAGTATTCCACTGAACTTTATAATGCATTACTGCTTATTAACTCTAGTAGACTTTTCACACAACTCTTCAGATCCCTGAGTGACAAAAGTTCCTAATTTTTATTTACCTGCATTAGTCTCTCCAACTGATAGAATTTGCAATGAAGATCTTCAAAGTTATTTTTGTAGAGGTCTCGTAAACCATAGTCATACATGATTTTCACCAAAACACAGAATGCTTGTTCTTCTGGCATCTATAGGAAAACATATATAAAGAATATCATTGTGTGGCATTTGACCAATGTCAGGAAGTTCATTCATAATATTAGCCCTTGGCATAAAGAGTTGAAGCCCTCAAGTGAAGGAAGTAACCTTTTGCAGAGGGACATAATTTGTGTCCAAAGCTTCCAGCCTCCTTACCTGGGGTGAATCTCTTTTATTAATTTTAAGCATCCTGTCATTCATTCAGAAGTTCTGGTAGCATAGTGGTTAAAGCATTTGTCTCTAACCAAAAGGTCAGTTGTTCGAACCAGCTACTCCATGAGAGAAAGCTAAGATTTATAACCTTGGAAACCCTATGGGCAGTTCTCCTCTGTCCTAAAGTGTCACTACAAGTCAGAATTGACTTGATGGCAGGGGTATTTGGTTTGGATTTTCATTCATTAGGCCATCTTAAACAATAGGTAATAGAGACACAGGGGTCAAAAATCAAAACACTGTAACAGGATAGAAAGATAAAAGCCTCACTCCTCCTCATCCCTATGTACAATATCCTGTGCCTGCCCCTATTCCTTTTGCATAGCCTCATAACTACTCTTCATAATTTTTCATGTATCTTGCCAATGTTTTCTATGCAAATAAATTAAATTAAAAACTCAAACTCACTGCCATCAAGTCGCATCTGACTCATAGCAACCCATCCTTGGGTTTCTGAGGCGGTATCACTACAGAAGTAGATTGCCCCCTCTTCATTCCAGGAAGTGGCTGGTGGATTTGAACCGCCAGCCCTCTGGTTAGCAGTCAAATGCCTGAGGGATTATATTTATTATTTTATTTTTTCCCTTTCTTACATAAAAGATAGTATTCCACCTACATTGTTATGCATCTTTTTTTTCCCTTTCTTTCTTAAGTTGGAAATATTTTTATCTCAGTACATGGCTGCCTCTTGATTCTTATTTTTTAACACCTAACTAAATACTTTATTATGTGGATACACCACGGCTTATTTAACCAGTTTTCTATTAATGGGTACTTGGATTGTTACTAATCTTTTACCAATAATTGCAATAAATACCCTGGTATATGCATCATTTTGCACCTATGCAGGGCTGGAGGTAGGACACATTCCCAAAAAAGAGACTGCAAAGTCAAACAGTAAATGCATTTCAATTTTGATAGTGCCACACTGTCCTCCCAGAGTTTTCTTATTGTTACTTTTCTTTGTTAAAAAGAAAAAAAAAAAAAAAAAAATCA